CAAAGTACTTTGAAATTGTTCCAGTATACATGCTAGCTCAGGAAATATGGGGTATTTAGGTTATTTCCATCATTTAAATCTATCCTTTTTTATATACTTTTAAATTGCCAATTTAAAAGCCAAAGGCTTGATTTTGATTGCATTCTGATGTGCTTCTGTGATTGAAAGATTCACCATGATATCAGTTGCCTCATATATTCACATACCGTTAGTTACATAGATACTTAATTTTCTATTTTACATGTTGGCTGAGCAAAGTGTGACGTGTGGTTTAACATAATTGTTAAGCATTCTGTTTGATAATTGTGCTGAGTATTGAGATATTAGAATGAGACAAGTTAGCATACACATTCAGGGCAACAGCCTACATTTCAAGGACAGACCATGACTTGGCGGCCTCCTACCATTGTGTCCTTCACAATAGACACTGATAAAGACAGGAGCTGCCAGGCCAATGGAAGAGCTGTGCTAGAGGCCAGCCGGAGCCTGAGGAAGGTCACTCTGTACATGGCAGCTTGATAGTACTTCCGTCTTCTTTTTGTTTATTAGCTGAACTTGAATACAGTTTTCAGATTGAATGTTTCAGCTGCTTTGCTCACTGTTTAAAAAAGTAAAGGTAAAGGTTCCCTTGCTCGAAAGCCAGTCGAATCCGACTCTAGGGTTGCGGTGCTCATCTCCGTTTCCAAGCCAAAGAGCCAGCGCTGTCTGAAGACGTTTCTGTGGTCATGTGGCCGGCATGACTAAACACCAAGGCGCACGGAACGCTGTTACCTTCCCACCGACGTGGTACCTGTTTATCTACTTGCAATTTCTTGCTTTCGAACTGCTAGGTTGGCAGGAGCTGGAACTAGAGATGGGAGCTCACTCCGTCATGCGGCACCCGGGTCTCAAACTGCTGAACTACCGACCTTCCACAGCCTGCAGTTCATCCAAAGCCACTAATCAATATAAAATAGCTGTCTTTATTCATCTTGTAAAGGAGGCCGGCAAAGTGAGCCTCCCAAGGGAGGGGGTTCCAAAAGGTTGGCTTGACCACTGCACTGCTCTGCTTGGCTTTTGGAGGACACCAGTCTGGTGTCCACCTATGAGGGTATCTTGAGCAGAGCCTCACTGGCAGATCTTGCATAGTAAGAGAATCTGTATGGGATCTCCTGTGATGACTCCCAGGTGGGAGCCAGAGTCCATCAGTACTGATGCTGTTGGGCTTCCGCCCTGTAGAGGCATTCCGTCTTTGCTATTTTCTTATTTGCTTCCCTACTAGGCACTTTGAGAAAGCTGTAACAGTGCTTCTTTTGCACTTGGAACAGACCCTGTCATGTATCTGGTAATACATCTCAAAATGGCATTTGCTTTGTAAAGAGTGAAGGCTTGCTTTTCCGTTGGCAGGACTGCAACCTTCCCAGGGCAGAAACTTGCCTGGAATGGTCTCCTATTATGGTTCTGCTTGTGATTTGTGGGGCCTCAAGGAGATACTTGCTTTACATTTGCTGTTTTGGCCGAACTTGTTATGAGTAGATGGGAGTGAAACACAGTCGGAGACCCATTGTGCAATTGCAAAACATTTCCCTTGTTCTTAAACCCAACAGAGATAAGCACTTGTTTTAAAGACACACTGTTCTAAGTCAGGATGTAGTGAAGGAGAATTAATGCAATGCCAGGGACCCATGGCTGCAGTCTTGTTGTCATAGAGAGGGCCACCCCTCTCAACCTCCATGGGCTAGTGGAGGCAGTTTCAGGTTCTGCCAAGAAGATGGAATAGCTTGTGGTTCAGTTCCAGTCAGTACACAGGCAAATGGCATGATCCCCAATGCAAAATCTCACCAGGAAGTACAAAAGGGCAAAGTGGTGTGCTTCATAGCTGAACCATTTGCTCTTATTTGTGCCAGCATGGTCTGTGTTCCAAGAACTTCAGGGAATGTAGGTGTTTTTATTCCTCTGGCCACCTCTTTATGTCCCCCAATTTATATTTCTAAAAGAAGTGACTCTGGCATCTAGCAGTGGACTTTTCCTCTTTCAAAAGATTCTTTCCTTATATTCTTTCCCATAGGAAGCATGACAACACTTACTGGTTGCTTACCACTGCTAGCTATAGTTAAATACAATTTAGAGAAGATTTGGGAAAAACCAACATAATCGTTATAATTTATTTACGGGAGATGCTAAAGTAGTGCCCTAAAGACCTGTGATTGCATGTGAAGCCAGAGTACTAAATGTTGCTTCAACCAAGTTAGCTTTGCTACCAAAAGCAGTGCCAAACATACTGTGCACAGGGAACAAGGTACATCATGTCGTCCTCTGTTAACCTTAATTTCAGTTTTTCACTTTCGGGGTGGTGGTGGTTTCCAGTCAGATTCCATTTTATAGTCATTATCAAAGAGTTACAAGAGATGTCTATGCAGAATTACAAGAGAGCTGAGTCTGAGATAAATTTGCACAAGGAAGCAGAAGAGCCTCCCTGAATGCAAGGTAGCAAGGACACAGTCACTTCCCTTGATCAAGATAGCTCTGCCACTGCTGCATGAGCTGATAAGTGAAGGGAGTAGAAAAGAAGCTGCCAAACTCTTAAGAGGAAGAGGCAGCATATATCCCTAGATGTAAGAGATTTGGGAAGGATTGGTAACAGTATGGGCACCCATGTGCAAAGGGCAATTATTTCTGCTCTTTATATCAATTGGCAATATGATATAAATGAAAAATAAGGTCTGCTGTAAAATCAAGCAGACCACTTTTGGTTTGCTGCAATATATTTGGCATTAATGACTTTGGTCGATTGACGCCATTTGACCATTCAGTCAACCATTGTGTTTTAGAAACCACAAGTGCTAATAGAGTTGTGCATCATTTGACTAAAGAAACTCTGCTTCCATAGCTGTAACAATTTGTTGTCTGTACAGCAAACTTTTAAAAAAAGGTTCTATTTTTATATTATTTATTTTTATATTATTCCTTTTTATAGAACACAGGCCTATCATCTGCCAGCTTAATCAAGTGTAACTAAAGAATAGCTATGGGGTAATCGTCAACTAAGGCGTGAAAGCATCTGTTTTAATTTTCAGTGGACTTAATGTGTCAAATAACTTCACAAATAAGTGGGCAAATTTCAATAAGCTAGTTACTTCAGTCATTCTTCTAGTATAATTTTTGGTATTATTTTCATACAGATTTGCAATCATGATGTGTCTGTATTAGCTTAATGTGCTGTAAATTGGACAAAATGGTGACAGATATAAGAACATAAGAGAAGCCAATGTTGGATCAGGTCAATGGCCCATCCAGTCCAACACTCTGTCACACAGTCGCCAAAAATAACAGGTGCCATCAGGAGGTCCACCAGTGAGGCCAGGACAGTTCTCCCACTGTTGCCCCCCCCCCAAGCACCATGCGCATCACTTTCTCCAGAGTCCCTATCTATACCTTGTGGCTAATAACCACTGATGGACCTCTGCTCCATATGCTTATCTAATTCCCTCTTGAAGCCGTCCATGCTTGTAGCCGCCACCACCTCCTGTCACACTGAATTCCATGTGACAGACATGGGTGATCATGCTACAAAGGCACACACACTCGACACATTTTGCAAGCCTTGGAGCTTGTACTACCTGTGCTTTCCATTCCATCCGTATTACAGATGGGCACATACAAGCTTCGTATAAGCATAGGTGGGTAGCAGAATGTTGCTGGAGCTTTGCAAGATACTTTTTATCAGTAAATGTGTTATTCTGTTTCTAAGGGGAAATCCTAGTTTAAAGTTATGTGGGTTTTTTCCTAATCTCACTGCACATTTTGAGGTTAAAACTAATCACAGGCACAAAGCCCTAATTTTAGCCCATTCATAGTTCTCCTAATTAAGAGACAGTTACAGAGCTGCCAAAGTAAATGCTTTTTTTTGCATTTCGTGGTACTTTCTCTGTCTTTAAAAAACTGCATTTGGTGAGATGGCCTTCCACCTGTATTGTCTAGAATAACCAGCATCTCTCTCACTGTTCTCTGAAACCATTCCCTGTATAGAACCTTGGCTTGATGACTGGCTTCACAAATTGATGGCTCCCCCCCCACACACACACAACAACAACACAGTTGTCTTATTTTTAGCTACTGTGTGATATGAATTCTCCCTAAACCCTTACTTGGAAAGCTCTGGCTCTTTCATGGAAACAACTGATGAGCTTTCTCAGGAGAGGTTCAGTGATGGCCTGTGCAGTTTATAACCACAATTTAAAAATTCTGCATGCTTTTTAATGTGTGCATTTTAATCCTGACCTGCTGAATGGACTAGTATAGTCTGTATATTCTGTGCCCTTCCATCTATGGCAAGAAGCTGGTTGAAACAGTAAATGCAGGAAACCTGTAATTGCCCCTTATTTTCAGCTACAAAGCAAATTGACTCAAGAGTCTTTCACTGCAATCACTTGTAAGGTGAAGGTTCCCTTGCTCGAAAGCCAGTCAAATCCGACTGTAGGGTTGTGGTGCTCATCTCCGTTTCAAAGCCGAAGAGCCAGCGCTGTCCGAAGACGTTTCCGTGGTCATGTGGCCGGCATGACTAAACACCAAGGCGCATGGAACGCTGTTACCTTCCCACCAAAGTGGTACCTATTTATCTACTTGCAATTTCTTGCTTTCGAACTGCTAGGTTGGCAGGAGCTGGAACTAGAGACGGGAGCTCACTCCATCATGTGGCACCCGGGTCTCGAACTGCTGAACTACTGACCTTCCACAGCCTGCAGTTCAGCGTCTTAACCACTTGAGCCACCGCAGCTCCTGCAATCACTCCGTTGTATCACTTGTACTCTCTTGTATATTGCTTTTCAGCAGTTTCTTTTGTCTCCATATGCTGACTCTTCTGCCTTCAAGAATTAATACATGAGAAACTGAAAACTATTGTGACACTCACACTAACTCAGTAATTTCCCAGCATCAGTGCTATTTTATTTTTTTCCAGCCATGTAGATTCTCTTAGGAAATTAATTATTCCATTTTGTTTTTCTTCTGTCTTTTTCCAGACATTTACAGCCTGGTGCAACTCTCACCTCCGGAAGGCTGGCACACAGATTGAGAACATAGAAGAAGATTTCAGGGATGGCCTTAAACTTATGTTACTCTTGGAAGTTATATCGGGTAAGACAGGCATTTATACAATGGCTAAACATTTTTGGACATTCTCAAACCTAGTAACTCTATTGGAGTACAGAAACCAATGCTTCATACTTTCCTGAAAGAAATGAAAGGATAGCAAAGATGTGTACCCATATCACTTAGTGACAAGCCTCACAAGGTTCCCTTCCCTTCCCCGCCCCTCCCCTTCCCCTTCCCTTCCCTTGACCTAGTTACTCAAATTTCCAAGCAACCAAGTAAAATGATATCACTAAAATAAATTTTAAAAACACTCAAACAAATCTTAGGTGATTCTACTTCAGTGGGCTGGGTATTTGTAGGCCCTAGGCTACCAGCTACAGGATAAGAACGAAGGGACAAGAACAAGAACCCTTTGGCTCTTCCCCTCCCCCTTCTATCTCTGGCTGTTCCAGGGCTTCAATACCTGCAGACAAAGGACAAAACAAAGCCAGCCCAGGTGATATTCAGCTGCTGCTAAGCTGCTCTCAACCAGTGTTCCCTCTAAGCTGAGTTAGTGTGAGCTAGCTCACAGTTTTTTAGCCTCTGGCTCACACATTTTTGTCTCGGCTCAGGAAGGATGGCTCCAGAGCAAACTAATTTCTGCAGTAGCCAAATCGCTCACTCACAACTTTAATGCCAGTAGCTCACAAAGTAGAATCTTTGCTCACAAGACTCCACAGCTTAGAGGGAACATTGCTCTCAACTTCTTCTCTTACTCCCAAAGACCCAAAAAGTAGAAATTAAAGAGATCTCCCTCTGATGTCCAGTGCCACTAATAGTACACAAGAAGGAGAGTGCCTAATGCAATTTTTGCCCTGCTGACAGGGTATGAGTTGTGTGTCAGCACTTCTTGCCCAAGCAACACACACACAAGTCTAGCTAGGGGAGAAGAAGATAAATTATGAGCTTGTATGTCCCTTAGCAATTTCCTTAGGGAGCCCCCTGTACATTGTGTTATGGCCCTGTGGTGCTTTCAGTTTTGTTTCCCTTCAGAAATACTAAAGACCTCAGGGAAAACAGAATAAATAGGCAGTTCTTCATTCCTTACTGATCTAAATGGCTCAGGGTTCAAAGTGCTGGAAAAGTTCAAGATCTGTAATGTGTGCTCTAATGGCTGCCAGCAACTAGCTGAGTGGAGTCCCTTGTGGGTTTTTTTCTTTTTTGTTTTGTTTATCTTGTTAGTAAAGAGCTCACTCATGCATAGGGAAGCTGATGAAAGCTAAGAGGAAGTCATGTACACACCATGATAGGAGGAGGGTGAATGATTGAAGGGAGGATGTCTCCACTCCAGGGTGTTTCACCTTAAAGTACAATGGCTTGTGCCCACTCTCCTCCTCCTTTCCATTCTTTGGTATTATATTTTTGTATCCTACCCTTCACCTCTCACTCTCTCTCTGGTGTATCCTGTGGCAGTTTATGCACTGAAGCATTTTAGTTGTGTCTCCCCTCCCTTTTCTGTATGACTCCCCCCTTTTTGCACAAAAACCAGCTTGTAAAGTTCTCCTCTATTTAGCAATATGGGTTCACAGACATACCCTTGACATGCATCTGTGATCCCTTTTGAAAGTGTAGGACAAGCACCCACTTTGTTGTGGGCATCGTGTGGGGAATAATGCCATGGCTGCAGAAAAGGAGTCAATAGGGGCTTGTCAGAAGTTGAATGGGGCTGTTGTTGTCTCTCTCTCTCTGCTTTGGTTTTAGTTGCCTTTGGCAGCAATTCAAAGTAAACGCCAACTGTAAAGGCTGGACATGAAGTGTTTTGAGACACAAGGGTAAGGAACAGAAGGGAAAGTAAGAATGAATGAGGACAGATTCCCTTGTAGTGCAAGTGTAATGGTGCCCCCTCCCCTGAAAATAAATACTTATATCATTCTATAGTCTTTACTGTTGGCTGCTGGTGGTGGGACACACTCGTGCAGTTTAAAGTGGAACATGGTGAAACAACAAAAATACATCTAGGCATGTGTTTGATAAGCATATGCTTCTCACACATTAAAAAAAATCCGCTGGGAAGAAGTCATCAGTATAGGTTACTGCATTTCTTACTCCACTCTCCTACTTTTAATTACAAGCAATTTCTTAGTATATTTGTAGTAACTATTATTTTTATTTGTTATTGATATAGCACCATCACAATGTGCAGGGCATTTTAGAAAGCACAAGAAGATGGGGCCTTGCCCCAAGGAACATGCAGTCTAAAATGTGAGACCCAAGAAACAACCTAGGGAGGAGAAGGAGGTGGAGGTGGCTGTAAAAAGGAGAAGAATATGTGTTAATTTCAGTTCCATGTAGTTAACTGTAGTTTCAGCAGGCAAGGGAGAAACTGAGGGGTTTTGTGAAAGGGTTCGTGCTAAAGATGGGTTTTGAAGAGGGATGGGAATGAAATGAGAGGGGTGCAATAATATAGGTGTTCTGGGAGACAGTTCAGTCATAAGGAATAGCAAAAGATAAAGAACATAGTTGTCTGAGGGAGCAAGATAATGGAGGATGACAAAACTAGCCAAGTGAAGGACATGGGCAGGGATGTTTCAGGATATGAGATCAGGGTGATAAGGGAGGCAAGGCCATCAGTGTGAATGTAGACAATAAAGCAAAGAATTTCAATCATTTGGTTTTGTTTCTGCTGAATTCCAGTAAAAGGTCAATGTGAGGGAGTTGCACATTAATTTAGGGCCAATCTCCTCATTCAGGAAAAAAAGCACATAAAACCACTCATCTAATACTGTAGCACTTCAGACTGTAGGTAGGAGCTTCATGTGGGGGTTGCTTCCCTGTGCAAATACTAGCTGTTTCTAGAAAGCTATTATGTTTAGAAAAGGGCAAACAAGGGACCTGCAAGGATCTGCAGGGTGCATCTCATTTCCTGTCCCCACTATTTCCTCTTTCTCTTTCCTAAAAGCCCATATAGCCTGTCCTGTTTTCCTGCCTCCTTCTCTCATTCCCACCCACCAGCCAACCTACCTTCATCTGACTCCCTGTATTCAGTTTTTATCCTTCCCTTAACCTGGAAGCCTCTGCCCAGGAAAACTAGGTACCTGTTAAGTGGTACTGACTGCCAGTCTGCACCAGCCCCATTTGTGTGGTGCTAGCTAGGTTGCACAGTGGAGTACCAACAACACTGTCCCCACATCACCTTGCCCAAACTATTTCCTCTTTTCCTCCTCCTGGCAACTCACATGTCCTCCCCTTTCCCTGCTTCCTTTTCTCCTTTCTACCCACCAACCTACCTACCTACCTTTTATCTACTCCTCACCTTCAGCTGTATTTATTATTTATTTGCTTCATTTATACCCCACCTTTCTCTACAATGGGGACCCAAAGGAGCTTACATAATTCCCCTCTCATCCATTTTATCATCACAACAACTCTATTTTATTTTTATTTATTTATTTTTGGATTTATATCTCGCCCTCCCCGAAGGCTCAGGGTGGCTAACAACAAGGCACAAGTGCCAGAATTAAAACAGATAAAACAGTCTAAAACCATACAACAATACAGTACAACAACAAAGTGTCAGTGCAAGATGGGGTAGAACTTCCTCAAATGGTATTGGTCCCACAACTTGTCAGCACCCTCTCCTTCCAGGGTCAACCTCACACCCTCTGTGAGGCAGGTTACAGGGGCTACCAACCTCCAGGTGGCAACTGGAGATATCCTGCTCTTACAATTGATCTTCAGATGACCAAGATCTGTTCCCCTAAAGAAAATGGCTGCTTTGGAGGGTGGACTCCATAACATTATACTCTGCTGAAATCCCTTCCCCTCCCCTACTCCCTGCCCCCCCCCGGGCTCCACCCCCAAAATTTCCTGGTATTTCCCAACCCAGGGCTGGCAACCGTATAGGTTAGGCTGTGCTTCCTTGGCAGATTGGTGATTTGAACCTGGGTCTTCCAGACTCTAGTCTGAAATGCTGACCATTACAACACACTGGCTTTTGTGGCATGGCTGCTGTAAGTAGCAAGTAGCCAGGCCTGGGTGAGTCATGCAAGATCTTCTTCGTGGTCTCTGTGCATCACATCTCTGGGATATAGTGCGCCTGTGCCAACCCCAATCAGTAGAGATTGAAAACAAAAGGATTTTTGTGCCCGCTTCCCCATTACGGGTAGGGCTCCAGTGCGCATGCCTAGGGGAGGAGCATGACAATCCTGCCAGTTTTCATCAGACCGCCGCACTGTTTGGACCCTCTCTGCTCCAGTCGGTAGTTTTCTTCTTTTTTGGCCTACTTGGCCTTTCTTCTCTGTCTCTTCAGATTACCTGTAAGAAATTCAGTTAGAACTGTTTTTCCAGGGAGTACACTGCTTTGGCAGACTTCCCTTACCCCCAGCCTATGGCGAAACGGTGGGGCTTCTTCAAGCAGTGTTTGAGGTGTGGCAGTAAGATCGCCCCCCCAATGGACACTCTCTTTGCCTGTTGTGCCTTGGGGAAGCCCACCTAGTGGACTCTTGCACCCACTGCTCGAAGTTCTCAAGGCAAACGAGGAAGAATAGGGCTGCTAGACTATGCACCACTCTGTTGGAACTAGCCCTCTCGCCGATGGCGTCGTCTCAAGATATGTCGGGGCATGCTTCGAGGTTGACAACCGCCTCGGGATCGACTGCCGTGCTGTCCCTGGCACCGGCCCACACTGATGTCGATCAACCAACACTGAAACGCTCGGTCCCGACTCCTCAGTCTGAAGCCCATACTCCTGCCCCAAAACACCGGGAGGGCAAGGACACCAAGCCTGTCAAGGACAAGAAACATAAGAAGGGCTCCCCTAGTAAAGTTCTGTTGACTCAGCATCGACAGTCAGAACTGACTCCTGTACTTGGGGCCGCCTCGCTTGACTAATCAGGCCTCGGCCAGCTACAAGGTGCACCACCCTCACCTTTGCTGCACCCAATCCAACTCACGGATTCTGAGCAAGACATGGACTTGACTCAAGTCTCCCGATCCTCCAGTGTCAAGAGCCTTCACTCGGGATGAGGAACTCATGCACTTGCGCGTCCCTTCCCATATCGCTTGTCGATCAAAGATCAAGATCTACCCAAAGGGCCGTTCCCTCCACCACCGGCCCCTTGGGATCAATGACAATGGCAGTATTTGTATGGGGTGTACCCACTGTTAGCCAACATGCCCTGGCTCCCACCATGTATGCCGATGGAATGGGATCACCAGTCTACCTCTTCCCGGCTTTCCCGATACCAAGAACCTCCACAGACGTCAGAGTTCCTACCACCCCAGCCGTCGGTACCGACAAACAACATAAGCAGACCCCTGCAGTAACTCAGACAGTAGCACAGTCGATACTGACACGGTCGGTACTGAAGCGCCTGATAACATTCTCGGATCCTTCGGAACACTCTGCGTCTTCAGCTTCCTCACAACACTCAGGGGATTAGAACCAAGATAATCCAGTTGAAACCTCCCCACCGCAGGAAGTGTCGGAAGATCTTCCAATATCTCCCTCTGAGGATCTGAAGTCTTACGGAAAGTTCATTAAGCGGGTGGCTCATACCTTGGCACTGTCGATGGTACAATCGCTGCCGACAGTTACTGATTTGGTCTTTGACATCGTTCAAATGGACACTTCTACAGCTGTTGCCCTCCCCATGACATCAGTCCTGCTACAAGTGACTAAAGCCCTGTGGGTGCATCCAGCTTCTACTCCCATTTCCAGTTGCAGGATCGACCACATGTATAAGGTCCAGGAGCCCAGCGCTGAGTTTTTGTTCACCCACCCCAAACCAAATTCGGTTGTAGTAAACTCATCCTCCAAGGGCAGGCGCACTCAGTCCTCACCCCCTGATAAAGAAGGAAAGAAATTAGATTCCTTCGGGAGGAAATTTAATTCAGCTGGAGTGTTGGGTATCAAGACCTCCAACTACAGGGCCTGTATGGTCAGGTATCAGTATGCCCTTTGGGAGCAATTGTCTAAATCCATAGCGTCCAAGCCAGACAACTACAGAAGGAGGGTATGATCCTGGCCAAACACCAGCTCAGCTCAGCCAAGCATATGTTGGATGTAGCAGCCAAAACACTCACCTCTGCAGTGGCTCTACGGTGCCATGTGTGGTTGCACTCCACTTCCTTGCAACAAGATACAAAGCCTTTTGTGGAGGACCTTCCTTTCGAAGGAGAAGGCCTGTTTAGCTATACAATGGACTGCAAGACTTAGATAAGAGCATCAAGATGTCCCACAATTTGGGAATCTCCTCAGCCCCCAGACAGTCCAGGTCCAAAACCTGGAACAAGTCTTGGTCACGCAGATCCTCCCTAAAGTCATCCCCTGAGACGCAGTGGCAGAGATCAACAAGTATGTCTTCCTGCCAGTATTGAAACAAACCTCGATTTCCACCCGCTCCTCAATCCAGGCGCAAAGCCCCAAAGCAGAGCCTTTGACTCTGTTCTCCCACCCATCCCGTGGCACTCCACCCATCTCCTCCCGTACCTACCTGCATGGGAGAGGATAACATCAGACAGGTGGGTCCTCTCTGTCATAACAAATGGTTACCTTATAGACTTCCTTCAAGTCCCTATGACTTCCAACTTTGTAGTTACTCCACAATCGACCACGCTGCTGGACAAAATACAGTGAAAAGGGAAACTAAAGGAAATTTCCCCCCCTCAAAAGGGTTAAAATAACCATACGATACAATAAGAAAACATTACCAAATTCACAGTTCCTTATGATATAATACTCCCAATGTGTGTGTTTGTGTGTTGAAGGTTTCAGATTTTTCTGCAAATGCAGGACTTATTTCAGGTTTGTAGAAAGACCGGTCTTATCTGCTTGTGTCTCTGGATTTAAGCACCCACAGATTTGGCCATTTGAGAATTAGATATATTGATTCTAGGTTGCCTTCTGCCTGAAGTGCTTGTGTTTCATGTGCAGTAAATTTTTCAGATTAAGGAGCATTCATTTATGTCTAGGGTTGCCAGGTCCTACCTGGCTGCTGGTGGGGGGGACTTCAGATCTTTCCTTGAGTTTTTCTGATGTGAGTACAAAGCACGTGTGCCACGATGACATCACCTGGAAGTGTCATCATCACATTTCCGCGGTTGGGGGTGACACTCTAGGGGTTTTTTTTGGCAAAACTCTATGGTTTTTTGGCCTCAAAACCATAGAGTTCTGCCCAAAACCTAGAGCAATTCCCCCAACATCAGAAACACAATGATGTCACTCCCAGGTGATGTCATCCCGCCGGCGCCAGTGGTGCTGGGAGGGGGCTTCTTGGGGTGGGGCTTCTCCCACCAGTCAGCTGGGCTGCAGCAGATTGGGGGCCCCCAAAGTTGGGGTATACCCTGGCCCCACTGGGGGAATGGCAACCCTATTTACATCACAGAGAATAACAAAACCTCAAAAAACAACTGTGTGCTAAATTTCCCGCAAGATATTTACAAAGGAGACTTCATTTAAAGTGAAATGCATCTATTGTCTGAAGTAAATCTGTCCTTATAATCTGTCATAGGAAAATGCAGAAGCCAAAGAATAAATATACAAGATAAATATACAAAAAGTCAAACACTTTTCCTAGGTAATTTTCCCAGTGTTTCAGACCTTTGGTCATTCCTCAGGAACAAAAAACTGTAAAAAGTACAAAATGCAATAACGTAACAAACACTCAAAACCAACAATATTTCATGAAGAATAATCACAATATTGCAAAAAAACCACTTTTACATTATGAACATCATTACATTGTTATCACTGTTACATAGTCTCAAAACTAGAGTCACATCAAATCTTACCAACTGTTGAGAGTCTCATTTCATCTTTTTAATAAGATAATGCTTTTCTATTATCTTGCAAAAGAGAATTCCTCCTTAAAATTTTCCTTAAAATTTAGAATCAGCACAGTGTATGGACTGCAAAACAAGTATAACATATACTCACTCGAAATGGCACAATGTATGGACCACAAAACTAGTATAACATATACTCACTCTATATTGGGCAAGGTCTCCTTAGCTCTAACCAGCACACCTAAAGCCTGCTTCAATGTATCAGGACCAAAAACATGCCTCAGAGTATCCAGCCTACTGAGTCTATTTCATGTAACTAAATTGAATACAGCTGGTTGTTCCTTGCTGGCATTTAAAGTTGTAGATGCCCATTACTGTATTTGAAACAAAATAATTAAAATTACCAGCTCCATGTTAAAAAAAATTCCTGGAGATGCCCAGCCTAATAAGTCTGTTATATGAGTCTAAGTTGGCTACAGCTAAATAACCTTTAAGGTAAAGGTAAAGGTTCCCTTGCTCAAAAGCCAGTCGAATCCGACTCTAGGGTTGCGGTGCTCATCTCCGTTTCAAAGCCGAAGAGCCAGCGCTGTCCGAAGACGTTTCTGTGGTCATGTGGCCGGCATGACTAAACTCCAAGGCGCACGGAACACTGTTACCTTCCTACCGAAGTGGTACCTATTTCTCTAGCGATTTCTTGCTTTCGAACTGCTAGGTTGGCAGGAGCTGGAACTAGAGACGGGAGCTAACTCTGTCATGCGGCACACTCGGGTCTCGAACTGCTGAACTACTGACCTTCCACAGCCTGCAGTTCAGCGTCTTAACCACTTGAGCCACCGCAGCTCCTAAATAACCTTTACAAACTATTAAATTGCTATAGCATCTGAGAAAGGACCAGAGGTCTGAAACTCTGGAAAAATTCCCTAGGAATACTTTTTGTATATTTATTCTGTATATTTATTCTTTGGCTTCTGCATTTTCCTATGATGGATTATATGGACAGATTTACTTCAGACAGTAGATACATTTCACTTTAAATGAAGTTTCCTTTGTGAATATCTTGCAGGAAATTTATCACACAGTTGTTTTTTGAGGTTTTGTTATTCTCTGCTACTTATTACTGTGTGCTGCACTTTTGTTGTTGTAAACCCTATTTACATCCCCAGATTATATTTGATCTATCTAATAAACATGCAGAGGTTCCAGATGCAAGAATGACATTTTAGTTTGCATAAAATCTCCAGTGTCCTGTCGGTTAAATCTGTGGTTTTCCTCAAAAGTTCCATTAAAAGTAAACACAATTCTTGGAGTTGTATGTACATTTTTTAACTGAGATAGAATGATCATGTTCATAGGGGGAAATGACATGCATTTTTTTGTTTGTTTTCTCTGTCCAGGTGAACGTTTGGCTAAACCGGAAAGAGGCAAAATGCGAGTGCATAAAATCTCAAATGTGAACAAAGCTCTTGATTTCATTGCTAGTAAAGGAGTCAAATTGGTATCTATTGGAGCAGAAGGTAAGTAGGAACACTCTCTAGTTGGAGACACAGATATGTGATGTGAAACAAGGTTACTCACATAGTCAGCAGATCTGGCCTTCTCTTTTCAGGTCTTGTAATTTACTTACATGGCCATGATTTTGTGACCACTTTCTTTGGGGTAAATTCAACACACATCTGGCAATTCAGTTTTTGAGCTTTGCCAGGGATACTTCAGCAAAGGAGCATAGTATAGACTGAGCTCATTTGCAAGTCTGGTTCCACCAAGTTCTCCAACATCTAGTTTTTGATGAAGTCCAGAAAGGTGTGTGGAATAAATTTGACATAGTGCATTGTCTGTCTGTCTATTATCTATCTATAAATGTGCTTCATAAGGACTAGAAACCATAAGGTTCAGGATGGAGTCAGGGTTGTCTAGAAACTGTGCTTGTATACTTCAGGCAGAAGTATGTTCTCCGTGGTCCTCTTGATGTCCTCACATTACTCCTGCCCCATTATTCTGTTTTGAGTTGTGAAAGTTGTGCTTCAGTTCCCTTTAGAATAAGAATTTGTAATGGTTACCTCATTCTTGCACCTGGAACATCTGCATATTTATTAGATGGCATTCCAAAAACCGAGCACAACTGAATGCACTTAACTGTGTGAGTGATTACGAACTCAAATATTTGTGTGCATAACATAGGTAGAGACCCCAAATTTCTGTGGAGTGATCCCTTGTGAAGAGTTAGTTGGCAATCAGAGATGACTCTCATAGATTGGTTTAGCTGTGTTTGTGAAGTTTCGATGGTACCCTTTAATACCAATTCAACAAGGGTATGGGCTGTAACTGGGCCAACATATATATATATTGGTTTGAGGTAAGAGAAATAAATTACATTCATGTAATATGGGTTGGATTAGCCTAAACTGTTTCTGGTGATAAAAGAATAAATTTTGGGCAGAGTGTGTGGATTACTTTTCTGCTTCACTTTGTATCAAGATAATATCACAGCGTTTAAGTGGCCCTTCGGCCGCTGCTCCCGAGTGTGGTGATGGCCCAGTGAGAAGGACTGTAAACGTTTCCAGACTATGAATTTTAAGGGACTTAAATTAAGACTTTAAAAAGCTGTCATGGCTGTAAACTAGAAAATAAAAATCAGTGAGGCAGACAAAATGTTATTATGGTTCAGACAGAATGAGCCACATTAAGTAAGCAGAGCTAAGGTAGAAAAGTATTCCTAGGTTGATCTATTAGTAGAAACAACACCTAAGTCACTTTAGCAGCAGATTCCCACAATATGTCATATTTAGCCATTGAAAGTGTTCAGTGCCTCATGGCTGTCAATCTTCTTGGTTTCAAAATATCCTCCACAAACCAGCAATTGCAATATTATAAGTCTGAGGACACGGGAATGTAAAGTGTATCTTGTGTTGCAGCATCAAACCTGCTTTCTAGGTTGTGAAAAAGGAAGAGTATAAAGTATTGAGGAACAGCCAATGAATGTTTTAAACAGCCTTAAAACATTGTACTGTTGAAATCAGTAGTAACACTGCTGTTTACTTTCAAAACAATGGGTAAAGCGGAGGTTTCCTGATCAAAGGGTTGTACTTGAAACTAGGTTAAAGGAAGCTCGTTTCTTTTTTCTGCTGCTGTGGTTTGTAAGCTGCTGTCTGTCTGCACACAAGCATCTTCAACATACATTCTGATGAGCTGAAAGAATAGCACTCTTGATTGCTAAATGAACTATATTATGGATTTCAGTGCTATTAAAATAAGTAAATGTGGGATATTTATTCTGCTGACTCTTACTGGCGTTTCCAGCATATAAAAAATTATTAGCTTCTCTTGGGCCCTGATCCTGCTACCTGATCCTGTTACTCTCAAGTCACGGTAACATGACAGCCTCAGCTGATGTCTCTTAAATGTGGAGCAATACAAAGACGCTATTGAGTCAAACTGACCTGTGTATGTCAGCATTAAAAACGGATGGCTATTTATTTCATTCTTCCTCCCACTCATAATGGATGAAGTGGGAGAGTGACTGACAGAGTGCTGTTTCATTTTACCTCACATTATATATGACAGTCAGTCAAATCTGTTGAAGCCAAAGCTGTTACAATCATGTTCAATCTTATATAATATTTGGGCTGTCACACGGACTTTATGTAGTTCTTCAGCTCGAAGCTTGTTGGCCCTCTAAGGCAATTGGTTGCCTGCTGTCTGAAACAGGATGTGGGACTAGATGGACCACTGGTCTGATCCAGCAAACCTCTTCTTATGTTCATTGTGGTAGCTGCAGTTCATGAACTGCTTAAGACAGCCTCTCTGTAAACATCCCGCTTTAGTAGTTTGCTGTGCAAGTATGAAGAGTGGATTAGATTAAGTGCAAGGCCCTGCGGTTGTGCAAAATTTGGTCATGGCATAGCATTGTGGCTGCAGCAGCTCAGGGTATTGCAACATTGCTGGTTTTGTGACAAGGTGTGCAAGGCCTTGCAGAAGTGAGGGGTGGGTGAAGAAGGACACAAAAGTAGGACAGGTGAGTGGCAAGACTAGTTACTGGTATACCTGTGCCAATAGGAAGGAGGGATTTACATTGAAGCACTGGTACAGTTGCAACCCTGTGTAAATGCTAGTAGGATAATACTAAAAATCTTGGTTGCATTGATTCCAGAGGTGACATTGCCAGGTATTTGGGTTTAAGTAGCTTGTAGCTTGCACAGTCTGGGGTAACCACGATGCTCGTTATTTTTTAATAGGTCTCTTAAGGATTGTGTGGTACATGGCATTGAGTTTCTTAGTGCTGCAGTAAAATGTATTATGTGAAAACATTTCATATTGCTTAATTCATGCCAAAAAAAACCCCAACAGCGGTCAGCCACTATTTTTTTCTTCATCTGTTCCCCAGTGGGGGGACCCAAAGTGTCTTACATTGTTCTCCTCTTCTCCATTTTATCCTCACAAAAACCCTGTGAGGTAGTTTAGGCTAGGAAGTCACCCAGTCACCCAGTAAGCTTCTGTGGCAGAGTTCGGGTTTAAAGCTGGGTCTCCCAGATCCTAGCCCAACACTCTGACCCAGGGGTCTCCAGCCTTTTTGAGCCTGTGGGCACCTTTGGAATTCTAACATGAGTGGTGGGTGCAGCCATAAAATGGCTGCTGCAGCTTCCCTCCAGTCACACAGTGAAAATCCTTGTGCTGTGGTGGCAGCTGCTGCTAAAGCAACATATTTAAAAATCTGCAGAGCCAATCAGATCTCCAGTCAGAAGCCCCACCTGGCCCTACCCACTTTCTAAAACCACCTAATGGGCTCCAGAAAAGGTGTCAGTGGGCACCACACCGAAGATACCTGCTCTAACCACTACACCACACTGGCATTTCAGATGGCTTAATTTATATGGAAAAAGCTAAAGCTGTCAGTCAATAAACGGGTGGTACATGGATGGCCATTCTGTCAAAGAAGGTACATGCAACATTTTTCCTCCCTTGGGTTTAAAAGTACAGTTAATTCTCTTGATTGAAAAGTCCTGGTGATGATGAAGGGATATTAGACACAAATCCTAAGAGAGCAGCTTTGAGCTCTTGCAAAGGAAAGCCTCTTTACCTCTTTCTCTCCCCCCTCCTCTTGTATTATACCCACCTTATAGTCCCTCTGTCCATAATGGTACTACCAGCATCTTTTACCCCATCAGAGTGGCTAGTGGCTGTGCCATCTCTGAAGGTTAGTTTGAAGTCCAGCCTGAGGAAATAGGGGCCCATTCTGCATACACAGCTTACTGCAATTTACTGCAGAGAATCCGAACAATCGAGCTTTTAAGCTTCACTTCTGATTTCTTTGACTGCCCTCTGCATATACTTTTATTCTCCGATTGAGTCATTCTGCGGCTACAACAGAAAAGTGCCGTTTTTCTTAATTGGTGTGAGAACGGCACTTGCGATGTCTGGGGATGGTCCAATTGCCACCGACTTGGCCAAGTGTGTGAGCAAGGGATGGGGCACACTGCACCCTTCTCCTTTCTTTCATTTCCTCCCTGCTCTCCCACCTCCTATAGCTAGCTGCCGCTGGAGTACTCCAGGCATGCACAAACCATAGAGAGATGCCAGCTCGGGGGCTGGCTGGCTGGTCTTTCAGGAGGGGTGGTGTCCCAAGGATTCTAATTTAAAAACAAAAAAAAACAAATGGGCCTTCAAGCCTTTCATTCCTTTTAATACACCCCCCTCCAAGTTGTGTGCAGATTGGCTTTGGGGAAGGGGGAAAAGATCCCTCCCTAGGGTCCAGTGTGCAAAGGTGGGGAGGAGTGTGTCCAATGGGCCCCCCTGCAAGCTAGAAGCATCAAACTCATGGAGGACCTCCCCAGGGCTGCCCCTCTACCTGCCCTCCAAGTTGTGTGAAGATTGACTTTGTGGAAGGGGGGAAAGATTTCTAGGGTCCAAAGTGCCAGCCAAGAGGGAACAGACTGGGAGAAATCAAACATGGGGGAGATGTGACAAAAGAAAGGAGGGGTGGAAAAAACGGGTGGAAACGGCCAGAGACATGGGTGGTGTCGCACAGTCCGAGGTAATATGTCTGCTTAGCATTACCTGCTACTCAGAAGCAGATCAGTCTTTAAGTCTGCCGCAAAAGCACTCTTGGATACCCCGGGGCAACACCATACTGACTCCAAAGTCACCACTGAATGGCCATAAAAGTATGCAGAAATTCCAGAAAGACCCAACGCACACAGAAAGTGAAAGCATGATGCAATCCAGAGGGTGATGAACAGCTCCAGAAGAACACTGGGGAAACAGACGGGGGCAGAGAAGCCCATAATTCCTAGAAGTATGAGCTTCTTAGTTTTATCTTTGAGTTTGGGAAGGGGGGGAAGAGTTAGTTACTCTCCTGAGAGTCTGGATGTTTGAGCTATGAGTATGAGTAATGGCATTGCAAACTCTTGCAACTTAGTGCTGAAATATTTAATATTTATTGCCCTTCTGACCAAAGAAATGGAAATCCTACTGTTATTTGTATATGCTGTTAATAGTGGATAGGTGTATTGGCAATGAGATGGAGCTATACTCACAAGCACAAAACATTTACTGTTACTGACGGCAAAAGCCTCATCCCTTTCAGTTCTTTAAACAGCTGTCCCTCCCTGACTGAATATAAATTTCACTAAGAATCATTGTATGCTGATGGTGTTATGAAGAGTACCATGGGTTACCATGGAGTTAAGTCACCACATCAGCGTTTTGACACATTAAATTCCCATTCTCTTCTGATTCAACTGCAGAGGTGATGGCAAATGGCAAAGAAGCCCTGTTATTTTGTGAAAAGTACTGGGTTCGCCGCGTGGAGGACTCGGACGACGACATGCGGTTGCACACGTTTATTGTACTTAACACAAGACTAACTCTAGCGGCCCGACAGGGCCAACTATATACATATCTACCCAGCACCCCCTATTCCCATTGGGGGGTTTGAATGTCCCGCCAAAGTGGCTATTGGTTGGGGCTGGGGGAACCAGGATCCAAAGTTTCCTTTGTTCCAGGAGCCAAGCTCCTGCATGTGCCGCAGATCCCTGGTGGCGGTCCACGTACATAACATTTTGTACGTAACTTGTTAACAATACATTTGGAAATTTACATCATGGGGTGGAAAATGCAGGGTTTAAGGTAGCTTACCAGAAAGTCTGGTGGAGGTGGACAGTTTTTCTTCCTTTTCACACCCAAATGCTTAAGGTAAGATATCTGCTATTAGAAGACAGGTTGGAAGATACTTGTGGCAATCATCCTTAAAAGTCCTGCCTCCTTCAGGGCTTTGGACCAATCCTTGTGATTTAGGCCTCATGCAAACTCAAGTGGTTGTCAGCCAGTCAGCCTAGGGTTGCCAAGTGACACGCCATCCGCCAGCGTTTTCCCTCGGATGACCGTGGCCCCGCCCCCAGTGTGCCCAGCGTGCCCATGTCACTTCCGGGTTCCCCCGGGGCCCGATCCAGCGGCGGGGCCCACCCCCCGGGCGAACTTGGCAAGCCTAAGTCAACCATAGAACTCCACTGGATTGGGAGGGGGTGAGCCAGCCTCAGTTTAAGGAGGATGAAGAAACCTTTTTAACTTTTGGATAGGAATTTTGTGGCTCTGGAAAGGAGTATCATTAGCCAGGCTTTTATTTGGCTTTTTACTTAGGGTTTGGGGGTCAGCTTAGGGAAGAAAGCTTATTTTAGTGGTACACTAGTGGCCCATCATTCCTAAATGGTGTGTGTAGATTCTGTGGAAAGGTGCTGGGGGGGGGGGGAAATCTTGAAACTGCTGATCCTTTCCAGAGAAAAGAGAATGAAATCTCCAGTCAGGGGTGATTTACTTTATTTGATAGCCAGCTTTACTTAAGTTATCCACACATCATATTTACCTTATTAAATACTTTGTTTTCTGTTAAATAGACCTTTGTTCAGCCCCATCTGTGTCTTGTCTGTCATGTCAAAAATCTAAGAAGCAGCAGTCTGTATTTACCTCATGTATAAGTACCATATTAGTCTAGCAGGTTTGCAAATAAGAGACCTTTAGGGAGCACATAGCTTACACATTACCAATGTTTATTTTAAAGCTTGTGTCCCCCTTTATATGTGATTGTGGGTGGTTAAAGTCTAAAGAATCTATAGCAGAAGCCAGATTTGTGGACCGAATATTCTTCGGTCAAGAGGGCAGTTGCCTCAGAGCCCCCCACCCCACCACTGCCACAGTACCCTACCTGTAAAGTTCCTTTACAACTTTTATTAACTTTGTTATTTTCATCCTGGAATCCCTTAAGCTTGTCTAAGGGAAGAAATGGGTCAGTCTGGAAAATCCTTGAGGTAAACACACATCCATCCGTGCTCCCCCACCTCCAGCAGAACCTTTTGGTTCGGGGGTGAATATGACCCATTCAGGTTGATGCTCTTACACACACACACACACGTTAGATGTGCAAGACAATGGAATGGGGATAAAGGGGTAGAATGGACTGCACCACTTCAGAATGCAAACGAGGGATCACAATTTAGAATGCTTTGCTATATTCAAAATCCCTTGCCAACAGGAAACTGTTACAGCTAGCTTGTACCTGCTGAGCTAGTTTTCTGTTTGCAAGAAGTTTTTTTGTATGAAGGAGTGTTCAAAACTAGAATGTGCCACCTATTGTTTGAACTCGTGCAGTCCATTCCACTGCTACCTTTTCTGGCATGAGTAAAGCAGGACCTCAAGTGAAGATGGTAGTGTGCATAGTTGTTGACCCCAGATCAAATCCTGACTCTGCCATGGAAACTTGCCAGGACTTCAAGTGAAGATGGTAGTATGTGTAGTTGTTAGAGTGTCACGCTATGATCTAGGAGACCCCAAATCAAATCCTGACTCTGCCATGGAAACTTGTGCTACCTTTTCTGGCATGAGTAAAGCAGGACCTCAAGTGAAGATGGTAGTGTGCATAGTTGTTGACCCCAGATCAAATCCTGACTCTGCCATGGAAACTTGCTGTCACACGTAACCTACCTCACAGAGTTGTTTTCCTATTAAAATGGTGGAGAGGAGAATAATGTAAGTTGCTTTGGGCCTCCATAGGGGAGAAAGGTAGAATCTCAGTGAAGTAAATAAATAGGTAAATAACTCATTATATGCAAATTTCCATAAAATGGAAACAATTCCTCAGAAATTCCCTTTTCACATACACATACTCCACTGAACTCCCTCAGCATACAGCACACAGATAAGCATATAAGGGTACAACTATTCATTAAAAATAAAATAGAATAATATGTAAATGAAGTTTTAAAAATTTATGTTGAAATCTTTCCAAATGTACAAACAATGTTTGGTAGTATAAATTCTGAAAGCCAGGGAGAAAAGGCAGGGAAACTATACCTTAAGAAGATTCTGTCATGGAACCCTACACAACTTGAGTGGATACTATGTCGTGGATAACTAATACACATACCTATCCAATCCCCGTGGTAATAGAGAAAAGCCTTGCCACTCTGTAAAAGCTCCACCATTTACCACAGATAAGAATGTAGCAGGGGGGAAATCCCAGTTGTAGTAACAGAGATGACCAAGCAAGCATCTGGTTGACAACTTTACCAAGAGGTAACTTAGCTTGGCTGTATTAGCCCTGCGATTCTATCTGCCAAAGATCTGGACTGTACGTACATCTGTTTGCTCTTTAATTTGCATTACGTACCTGGCACCAATTCTCAAGTAAATGTGACGGTACGTTTAGAATTGCTGTTGCTTAGCTACACTTGCTCAGAATTATCTCTCTCTTTCACTCACTTTTCACACATTCAGAAACAGGCTTATGTGTGGCTCAGCTTTCAAGGTTCTAAAAGGTCTCCCAAACACAGCTAGCAAACTATTCAGCTCTGTTACTGGTTTGATAAAGCATTCTCTTTAAATATCTACTGATGATATTTTTTAAGCTGTTGGGTTCTTTTCTGTCTTGCAGAAATTGTTGATGGGAATGCGAAAATGACACTTGGAATGATTTGGACCATCATCCTCCGTTTTGCCATTCAGGACATCTCTGTGGAAGGTAAATCCCAGTGTGCCCTCTTCCCTTGCACAGATACTGGGGACATGTCACATGTGAACACATGAAGCAGCCTCGTACCAAGTCGGACCATTGGTCTATCAAAATCAGTATTGACTTCTGTGACTGCTAGCAGCTCTTTGGGGTTTCAGGCAGAGATCTTTTGCATCACCCACTAACTGGAAATCCCAAGGATTGAACCTGGGACCCTCTGTGTGCCAAGCAGATGCTGTACCACTGAGCAGTGGCCCCATCTCCGTGGTGGATTTCTTTAAATGGAAATTATATTAAAACTACCTGGTGATTTTCACTATGTTGTCTAAAGGGGGGTTTGCTCCATGCACACAGTGCTTCCACATGGTGCTTCCACATGGTGATGCTAGCACAGTCAATCCTTTTTGCCTATACGGCTGCTAGCTTCAGGGAGTTGAAGCTGCAAAATTAATCATTTTGAGACCATGCACATTGCATCCATAACCTTCTCTGTTCCTGTGGGCAGTCTAGTGAAGAAGGGATATGTGCAAAGCCATCATTCAAAGTGGTTCTTATGGCAGCTGAGGAAACTACATTGCCAGTGACTGAGGATAGAATTAAGCTTGTTTCTTCCTGTATTGATAAAAATACTATTCATGTATTGTACTTACTGTGCAGGGGCAGCTTTGACTGATTCCTCTGAAAATAGGTCCTCAGGACTGGATGTGAGGTTAGATCAAAGTTAGAGCATAATTTAGATCATGGTTTGATAATAATTAGAGTTATATTTTGCCCTTTCCCATTATTATATGATTGTGTACAACCTACTTATGCTACTGTTTCATGGCTGTGCTGCTCACTTGTCCTTGCCCTCTAGTGTGTGTGTGAAGCTACTGCATGTTTTATATTTCTTTAACTTGTGCCTGTAACTGATTACCTGTGGTTAGAATTCTGACCAGTTGACTGTCTGTTTTCCCTTCTAGACTTAATGTTAACACCTCCAGAAGACTAAACATGCTTTATAGCAGGATTAGGCAGAGATACAATAATTGTGACCAAGTGTGGACCGAAGTGTGGGTCTCTGTGGTTCAGATCTGACGCTCTGTCTACAATGCTATGATAATTCTTTACATTTAGATAAGAGACAAAGATGGCTCTGCCTCACACCTCCATAATAAAAACACAGGGACAGTAGGTCATAGGGAATGTGTGTGGTTCAGTGGTAGAGCATCTTCTGTGCATGCAGAAGATCACATGTCCAATTCCCAGCATCTCCATTTGAAAGAAACAGGTAGTAGTTAATGTGAAAGACCTCAGCCTGAGACCCTAGGGAACTGCTGCCCATCACAGAAAATAATACTGACCTCGACCGACCAATTGTGTGAAGCTGTATAAGATAACTTCGTGTTTTCCTGTTTAATGGAAGGCTGCATTCTACCTTCTAGATTAAGAACATGTAGCTCTAAGTTTAAAACAAGAGAACTGCAGTGCTGCGAGAATGCAGTGCTGGTGAGAACTACCCATCTTCCCTCTCTGCGTGTCACTTCTGGGATCCATGCAGGGAAAAGGAGGACTACATTGTGGGGGAACAGGAAGGATAATGGAGGGGGGTGCGGGAAGAATGAATAGGTGAGTGAAGCAGAGTAGGTCACTGCCCTGTGAACGCTTTTACAAGGCTGTCATAAGTTTCGCTGCTTTAATTCTCAGCCTCTTATTGGCCAGGTTTTTGGCTCTCATTAGAGGTGTGAGTGATACATGTAAGCCTTCTCCAAATGAAAAGAGGGGTCCAAATCCTCCTCAATTTCTTCAACTATATTAAAGGTTAGGATGAATCAGCAGCACTGAAAGTAGTGAAAAGTCCCACAGAGGTTGGCTAATTCATGTATCTTTTGTTCCCTAGAGACATCTGCTAAGGAAGGGCTTTTGTTGTGGTGTCAAAGGAAGACAGCCCCATACAAAAATGTGAACATCCAAAACTTCCATATTAGGTAATGTAAAGGTGAAGGGTAGTCACCTGTAGCCTGCAATCTTCTGTGCTCTAGAGAATTTGGGCACTGATGAAAAGCTTAGCCCAACTCTCTCTTTAACTGCAATGCTAAGCATATTTACAGTGGGCTTTAGCATCAGAATCAAAGAAAAGCAGGGTGGACGGAGCTATTGTGTTCTTAACTGCCCTATCAGTTCAGGATTAACAGGCTGAGGCCATGTAAGGCCTTCTTCCCACACTATACTAGGTACACAATCATGCTTTTGTTCTCTAGAATGGTGCACATAAAAAAAGCTTATGCTCTATTTTTTGTACTGGCAGGTTTGTTGGTACAAACTTGCATCATCTACGAATGTTGCTCTGTTGTGAAGGTATATGGTGACATGTGATTCTATTCCTGTGAGTCATTGTTGGAGTGGGTCTTTTGACCCTCCTCAAAAAATGATAGATAAGAACAGAATCACTTGTCATCCCTTCTGCCTGAAGAGAGAGAATGATGCTATACATTGTACTTTCTTCCTCATGACTTCTCTTCAGATGTACACAATGCAGTCCATCTCCTTCTAAGGGCTGAGCACATGCAGTTTGGACTTATTTGTACAAGTGTATTTTGTACATGTAAATTTAAAAGCTTGAGTTTTGAATCTAGAATTGAATAAGTCATTTGCAATAAACATCTTCTGAAGAATAAGGTGGAAGTGATGGACCATGTTCTGATAACCTATTTCTACTTGTTTTCCCTGCCCCCGCTCTTTGTGGCCATTTCAGTGCCACTGGTCAACAGTAGCCCTCCTGAAAATCCAAAAGAGATGGTGCAAGGATAACATTTTGAGTCTTATAAAGGGGGGGGGTGTCTGTGAGTTTTATTTTCGTCTATATTTAAGTATTTACCTGCTTTGCTTAAGGATAAGAGGTGTGTTTGTGTGTTAATAGTAGACAAACTGGTTAGTCACATTCTCTTCACTACATAAATTAGTGTGATGCTGTGACTGGGTGAATTGCAGCTTAAAACTACTGAGTGTAGCCAATCACAATTGAGGGGGAAATTTATATTATTTTCATTCCTCAGTCTTCTCCTGCAACAAAATTATCTGAACTCTTCTGGTTTAATGAAGGTTTTGTGGTTGGTAAGATGAAAAGAACCTGAACTGAAACAAGCAAATGTCACCCATCATCATATATCTGATTCTGAACTGGACCATAGAATGTGGGTTAATAGATTAGCAAAATGAGGCTAGGGACAGATGGGTGGGATTTCTCTGCAAATCTGAACAAAGTCCCAAGTTTGTAGAAAAATCTGAAATCTAAAAAAGAATACATTGGGAGATTAAAACTACATAAAATAATAGAAACAACACCTGTAGTTTTAAGATAAGAATGCCCACTGAGCTTTCAGTGGCCCTTTTGGAGGTTGCTATGCAATCACAGCAGTACTCTCGGGGACCCTGTTTGGGTAGAAAGGGGAGACTGAAATGTTTCCAATAAAGTCCTTGTGGGTCTCCTGCTTGTTATATCTAATCCTGAGCAATGGCCTGGTAGGGTGGATAAAAAATCCACATAATGAGATTACATAAAGGGGATATCTTTCTACATGTCTAGGTAAGCCTCAGATTTGCAGGAAAAAATGTAACGTAAAAATAATATACTGCATGCTTAAAAGCCCCTTTAAGGAAAGTATGCAACTGAGATCTTAAGTCTATGTTGTAAAGGGCAAAAGATTTATACAATTTGAAAATAAACCAGAATATGGTTTCTGGCTTCTCTTCAGATCGTATAATAAATCTTTTGCCTTTTCACACGTTTATGTTGTAAGATCTTGGTGGCCATTTGGGGGTTGCTAGGCAGCTTCCAACTAACATTCCTGAGGATTCCAACCCTCAGTCTCAGCATGGGGGGGACAGACAAAAAAAAAAGTCAGGAAGAAGGGAAGGTAAAGCTGGAAGGGAGGAAGATTAAAAGGAAAAGTTGAAGATAGGGGAGGGGAACAAAAAAGGTAGGTAAGGACAGAGGCTGCAAGGAAGAGAAACAGGGATAGGTAGGTGAGTGGGAAAGAAATAAAGGGGAAAGGCTGCAGGCACTGCCAGTGGGAGGTAAAGCAAGAGGGAACAGAGGGAAAAATTGTCTTTGTGGATCCCCCAGTTTTTTGTAATATTGTATAAGCCTAAAGCAAATGAAGGCCAGATATTCTGCCAACTGCATTTTCTGTGGCCCATAGCTGATATGGTAAATACTACTGATCTAGTCTTCTCTATGTTTTGTGGTGTGTATTTTTCATTAGTGGGTGTTACTGATTTTCTTAATTAATGCTGTTGTTTTTGTCCTTTCTCCATCACAGCTGGAAGGATGGCCTTGGTTTCTGTGCCTTGATTCATAGACATCGCCCAGAGCTCATTGACTATGGGAAGCTAAGAAAGGTACCTCTTGTTCCAAGTTTAGTTGTATTGAGAAACCTGTGTTGGCAATTGGATAACAATCATACTTACAAACTGCATTTTGATGTAATAGGTATGCATATGATAATAGGTATCTTTCTAATGCCCATATACTCCCCTCACTCACCTCCCTTTTCTCACAGATTAGAACTAAGGATTCCTGTTTTGGAACTAACGTTGGCTCCTCATTATGTATGAATGTATCGCCTGGGTGAATTAGAACTGGGATTCTGAACCACAGTATAATCCTAGCTTAGCATCTTTGTTTGTAGGAGATAAACTCCAATTCACCTGGGTGCCTGAATTTGTTCATTATAGGGTTTCATTTTGACTGGAGGGGGGAGGTGAGAGGAGCTTGATGGTATAAGAAACAAGCTATGTTTGTGCCCATCACAGCAAATTGCAGTTTATTCAACTTTAAGACTAGTGGCTTAAATTAAAAATTACCTTAGTCCTTAAAGAGCAAAATTTAGGTCATTTCCCAGTTCAAAGTAATGAACTTCTGGCATGTCCAGTCTATCAGATTGGAGGGTCAAGTCAAGTCAGCCTTTATTGGCATAAATTATCAGTACCATTTATACATTTTAAAACAGATTGGAAGTTGATGTTTTCTAGTAGACTGAGTTTAACAATTACGTTTGTGTTGGGCTTGGCATCCTTGGAAGGAGCAGCAGCAGCAGCAGCAACAGTGCCTTTTCAGAAACCTTAGCAGGGCCTTTGTTGCTTGTACAAGACTGCATAGTTAGCCATAAGACCTCTCTGAAGAGCAATTTGTGCATTCAGCTTTGTTCACAGTAGGTAGCAATGGCAGGAAAAATATATTGTGCTGACAGGAAAATTTTAGAGTGTGTGTGCAGAAAAAAATCTTTGCCATGTCTTCTTGTATCCCAACTGTAAGCCATGAATCAGGTATTCCTGTGTGGTATGAAAGTTGGACAAAGGTTCTGCATAATGTTTTCTTCTAGAAGCATGCTATATCTTGGTCAGTAAGGACAGGATATTTTTGTGACCAGCATTTCCAGTGTTGATGCTGTTTGGCTTCTAACACAAATAGTTAGCAGCTCGTACTCCTTCCTCTCATCTTACTTAAACCATTTTGCTGATTTGCAGTTGGTAAGAAGCTGACCATTGGTGACATGGCAGTAATTACTATGGCAGCAACTTGTGATATGTTGAGTTAGAATTTTTTCGTAGGAAGGAGAAATATCTGTACTGGTTAGCATTTTCTTCTCTGTCTTGAGAGGTAGGAGAACCAAGTAATAACGTCTTATGTCAGCAAAGTCAGAATATGTATAAGGCAAGATTTTCTAAAAGTTTTGGCCAATATTACTAGCTATGAAAACTAATAAAATAAGAACATAAGAACATAAATTTTCTAAAGGTTTTGGCCAATATTACTAGCTATCAAAACTAATAAAATAATGAAGTTCCCACTCCTTCGGTGTCCCTCTCTGTTTCAGTCAGTCAATCATTCACACTTATATCCTATCCTTGTGCTAGGTAGCTCAAGGTTGCAGACATAGTTCTCTCCTACCTATTTTTTCCCTTCACAACAACTCTGTGAAGTAGTTTAGGCTGAGAGACTCAGGGTAACTTCATGGCAGAGTGGGGATTTGAATTCGACAGTCCTAGTCCAACTCTCTTACCACTAAAGCACACTGACTCTCCCAGCAACAACAACAACAACAGTGTATAGTTCTTCTGGAGAGATTCTGTGGCAATTACACCTGTGTAAACATTTTCAGATTGGGATGGTGATCTTTCCCAAAGGTGCAATCTTATGTACACTTATCTAGGAGTAGGTCTCATTTAACTCAGTGAGATTTTGGAGTAAACATACCAGGAGTAAATATGACAGGAAGCTGTGAGTCATGAAAAATTTGTTTGAAGCTCTACACACATTACTAAAACAAAATTATAGCAGATATATTGATTAACATAGCTATCTTCCTTTGTTTTGAAAAAGCCAGAACAAAGGACAAAGCCAAGGGAGATCAAGGCCATCTAGTCACAAATAGGGATGGGCATGAACTGGCTCACAAACCTTTGGTCGTGATAAATTTTGGCTGGTTCATAGTTCACTTACTGAAGTTTGCGAACTGCAGCCCGGCCACAAACCTCCACAGACTTTTAAGGCAGTTTGTGAAGGTTTGTGGGCAGTTGTTTTGGTGGCAAATACCACTGAAACAGCTGAGCTGCGGGGGCAGCCTGCTCCTGCAGCTCAGCTATTTTGGGTGCTGAACAGCTGAGCCTGCTTCCCTATCTCAGCTGTTTAAAGGGGCTTTCTTGGGTTCAGTTTCCTGCAGAAAGCCACAGAGCACTGCTCAGCTGTTTGGTTTAAATGGCTTGGAGCTATTTAAATCCCTGCTTTCTGTTCCCTGCAAAAAGCGGTGGGGATCAGAAAGCAGGGGTCATGAACCCATATGAACTTCATATAGGTTCGTGGTTTGGTTTGTGGTTTCAGCCATGAACTGAACTGCAAAAATGCAGTTTGTGCCCATCCCTAGTCACAAATTTGCTTACTATTCACAAAAAGAAGGATTATTTAAGCAAAAAGCCAATGAAGTATAATGGCTGTTTCAGCTGAGTGTGTCTAGCAACTGGCCCATTGCCACTATATTTCACAGGAGAGAGAAGACTGAGTCTCTCTCTGTATTTTCTCATAAGTAGGGAGAGTCTTCTCAAACATTGTCATAGTGACTCTGCGTAGCTCAAGGCACAAAAAAAAATTTTTTTGTTCAGTTGCAATGAAAACAGAAACAAACTACGTATCTCTCAGTTTTAATTCTCATTGCTGGGGTTAGGACTCATGGAAAAGGGAGATAACAGGGCTCATGGCATTTTTTTAAAGGTCCCTAAAGAACATGCTCCAGGAAGACCATTTGGCAAACTTTTAAAAGGTTTCTCTGTGTCTCTGTTTTATTTTGATCCCTTCCTTCTTCCAAGGAGCTCAGGACAGTGTACAAAGTTCCCTGCTCCTCTTGTGTGATCGTTATGATAATATGTGAGTTAAGTTATGCTGAGATGAGAGAGTGTGTCAGACCAAAGGCTTCCTACTGAGGTTTGTGACTGAATGAGGATTTGCACTGTGTTCTCCCAGATTTTAGTCCAGCAGTCTGACCACTATATCATATTGACATCCTTGGTGATGGAAAGTGCCATCAAGTTGCAGCTGACCTGTGGTGGCCCCATAGGGTTTTCAAGGCTAAAGATGAACAAGCTGCATTCTTATGTTCTTACAGACAGCTGTAAAAGGAGATTAGATAGATTCATGGAGGATAGGTCTATCAGTGACTACTAACCATGATGCCTGAGGGGAACCTCCATGTTCAGAGGCAGTTAGCCTCTGAGTCCCAGTGCCAGGAGGCAACATCAGGGACCTTGGCCTCTATGCCCTGTTGTTGGCCCTCCAGAGGAAGTGGTTAGCCATTGTGTGAGACAGGATGCTGGACTAAAGGGACCACTGGTTTGATCCAGCAGGGCTCTTCTTATGTTCTTATAGGCAGTTTGCCTTATAGGTCTCCCATCTAAATACTAAGCTTCTGAGATCTGATGAAAGCAGTCTAGCCTAGGCCATCTAGGTCAGGACATTCTTAACTGTGCTTAAATCTGAGTAAAAATTATTTATTATTTTGTTTGTTTACTTCCTAGGATGATCCTCTCACTAACCTGAACACAGCTTTTGATGTGGCTGAAAGGTTCCTTGATATCCCAAAAATGTTGGATGCTGAAGGTAATGTAGACTCTATGTTTGTTTGACCTTTTGTCTCCCACTCCCCACTAACAAAGAGGTTCCTCAGACTTTCTCCTGGACTTTACTTCAAAATATTATCCTTTGTCACCACATACCTAGACAATGGAAGTCCTTATACATATGAGAACTGCTGCATGGGAACTGCCTTCCTGTGGCTGGATCCTGTAAACTCCTAGTTATGGTTGAATCATGGAATGATCTGTGATGCACAGATCATAAGGGAGAAGTTTGTCAGGACCTTCTAGAATAGCAGCACTGATACTGAAACTTCTAATATGATCTGCCTGTTCCACATGGGATCCAAACATGGGGAAGTATATTCCACATGGCACCAGAAATATATAAATCAAGTCTGATCAGGTTGTATCATTAGGGTCCTTTCATTTTCTCCAGTCTGCTCTGTCTTGTTAAAAAGAAAAAACATGCCCTGCCTTCCAGTACCTTACTGTAAGGCAAATTAAGTTGTAGCTGAGCATCTCCTTCTGAGAGATATGCCTTGGATAAGAGGAATTCTTAACTACAGCAAGCAGCATACTCTCTCTACAATACACAGGGAGTAGAAACAACAAAGGCTTCCAAAGCACCAGTTATGTTTCTAAGGGCATTTTGTTTCCTGAGCCACTGATCAAACATAATAAAGGGAGATAAAACATATGTTAACGATAGTCTTTGGCTCTCAGGAATTAGATTCCTGAATACAGATCTGAAACATCCCTTTTGCCATGTTAAAAGTCTCCATTGGCATAGAGAGCACAACAGTTTTCTCGTGGCCTTTGAATGGGTCTTATGGCATTTTTCTCCTCCCCTGCTCCAATACAACTGGGGAGAGAATGTTGTGCTGGTTGTGCTCAGCGTTGTCCTGTTTTCCTCTACCCAGGTTGTGTATCATGAGACATTTTTTGTATAGCTGTTGGCTGAGCAAAAGCGACAAACATACTCTGCTACATCTGATCACCAGGACATCTATTTTTTCATTTATTTTTAAAATGACCATTGGCATATTAACCACCTTCTTACACTGGTTTTTGAGCTGAGTATGGTATTAGGTTCATTTAGGCAACTTGGCTTTAGAACCATAGGTATGAGAATAAACTCCAGCTTTAAAGCCACACTTTGTGGAGTCAGCTTCATTTTCCTTGCCTGTATCCCAGTGGATTTGAAGGTGGAGAATTTTCATATGGGAAGCCTGAGAAGAGTAATTTATCTTTTTTTAAAAGTTGTAATTAGTATTGCTCTGTGGTGTGGTAAATAAGTATTTGTCTGCACTGCAGCATCAGCCCCTTCTACAGTTCAGCACCTGAATGCCAAATCAAAAGTTTGGGAGAAATATCCCCCCAAAGCTATGATGCAAGACAGCTTTATCCTGATAAGTGCATTTTGGATTAGGCTGGCAGGACTGGTTCATCTGCTGTCCACAACTGCGTGCTCATGGCAAGGGTATTTATATTATCATTAACCTTCTCTAGTTCCCCCAGAGGGTTACAAGGGTTTTGTATGTGGGTAATGAAACCAATCCTTCATACCCCCAGCATGTGGCCTGAGGTTGCTGGCTCTGAATTTTATTTTCTTATCCCCTGGGATTGCCACCAAAGACATCTATCTGAAAGTATTTGGGCTGGTTTGGATAACAAGAAAATATACAGAAGATGCTTTTTTTTTTGCTCTGTTGCATTTCATAAATGTAATAGCAAGGAAATGCTGTGAAAAATATGGCATGGCCTGAGCTTGGGAGGCGATGGACACTTGCTTCCTTTGCTGACATAATGGGTACTTGAAAAACTTAGACCACAGACATGCTGGAATGGAGCACAAGATAGTGGCGGGGAGGAAAGTCCCGTTTCATTCAATACAAAAGCAGTCTGGGGTCATCGTCTACCTTCACATGTTTAGTGCATATGCTTCTTGAAAGTGCCAGTTGTCTCCTTTTCCAAGAATAATTTTCTTTGTATGTCAGGGGAAGATATACAAAGCTATAAAGGAGAAAATCCTCTGCTGGCAAAGTCTGCAAAGGCCTGTGTAGCGAATATTCACACCTGCCCCTCACTAGGTGTCCCTGGCTGTCCTCCTCGCTTTGCTCACTTCCCATCAGTTGATATGCTCTTTAACTTCAGGTTTTCTTTGACAGACATTGTTGGAACTGCCCGTCCTGACGAGAAGGCCATCATGACCTATGTTTCTAGCTTCTACCACGCCTTCTCAGGAGCCCAGAAGGTATCGCAGGATTCCAAGCTTCCTCCACACAGCGCACCTGGTCCTCTTGCTAATGTCCAAACCTTTTTTTCTTTCTCTCTCTCCTCTCTAGCTACGGGCATCTTTATTTTTATTATTTTTGGCAGCTTTGGCTTCTTGGTTCCAAGTGGTGCCCATGGTATACCACATTTGGGGGACACAAAATTGGTCAAACACAGTCCTACAGTCAGTGATGGAGTGCAAATCTAGTCTTGTGCATCCTTTACTCTGCGGTGGTGCTGGGAGCTCTTCTCTTATATCTCCATTACAAAGATCTCTCTAGGGGTTAATATCAGGGTGATAAATTAGGATTAAAATTCATCCTTGTTTGAGGCACAGTCATTTTTCACACGAAGGGTATGCCCAGCAAATAGCCATCTTCATGCTAGTCCAGCAATCTTACATTGCTGCTGAATTGCTTTACTGATTGGGCACAGCAGCTTGGGCCCTTTCTCAAGGGCTGCCATTACTTCACCAAAGTATGTAATCAAAAATAAAACTTGGTTGATACAGGTCAGTAAATATGGAACATGTGAAGTTGCTTCATACTTTCAGATCATTGGTCAACCTAGCTCAGTATGAAATGCTGTGATTGGCAGCAGCTCTTCAGGGTCTCAGAAAGAGAATGAGCTTTCCCATCGCCTGCTACCTAAGTTCCTTGAACTGGAGTAGCTAGTGACTGAACCTGAGTTCTTCAGCAAGTTAAGCATATGCTGTGCCACTGAGGTGCAGTCTAAATGCAAAGTTGCTTTTCCTATGTGTTCCATACTTGAGATTGAGGCAGCGTTTCCAGTGATTTCTTTATTCAGCTCAGAACACAGCAACACAGCCTCATAGAATGATGCAACTATATACCTTTTGAACCAGTGAGGCCACACCCCCTAGCACAGTAATGACCAATTACAATTGAGAGTTTAGGACCAATGGAATTTGTTCCCGCCAAAGGTCAGAGTCTTTCTGGATTGCTCGGTTACACAACAGCGACCAATCCAACTGCAGGGTTTAGAATACCTGGGAGTCAATGGAGCCTGTGCCTGAAGCTCTGGTTTAGGTTACATAGCATAACACATAAGCAAGTACACAACACTATGCTTATGAAAACAGTGAGAGTATTTCTTAAAAAGCAATAATTCTTAAAATTATGTGTCCAAAATAGAAAGTCACCACTGAGCATGGAGTTTAATAAGCCAGCTATTCTTTGAGCTGAATTTTGAACCTGAGCATTTTTTTAAAAATTAATGTTACACCTCTTGTCAGTTACTATCATCCTGCTATTAGTTGCTGAGTTTGCAAGGTGCTGTGTTTTTTTAGATGACACAAGTGCATATTAAAATACATGAGAATATAAAACAGGAAGGGTAATGCATGCATTTCCAAACAATGTACGTAGAGCTTTGAAAATGAATCCAGAAATTGCAGCAGTTGCCTGAGAAATATACAAAGCTGCATTTAGAATTGCTTTGAGAAAGGGATGGGCACAATATCACACTCAACTGCTGGCCGATTTTTCATGGACCATCTAGTGTCTGCAGGTTGCTAGCATTTTTGCAAAAACACATTTTTGCAAAAAATAAAATAAAACTGGAGCCCTGTGAGCCTTGGCCTCATCCAGCAGAGCATGATTTGCATGTGTCCCCACCCCAATACCTACTATTCCTTGCTTATTGAATGCCAGCAAATTAGGGAAAATATTAGTCATGAATTCTTCTTGTTGACATGCTAATTGGTAACAGGCAAGTAGTTTTCATCTTTGGGAAAAATTCAATCATACAAATCCCTTACCTGCATTGTAAAATTGTGCAGTTCTATAGCACTATCGTGCTATACTCCTGCGTATGTAGCTTGATTCTAACCTGCCAGAAAAAAACAAGCATGTTCAGTGAAAAGAGTTCCAGAGTATAATTTTATCAGGGTTCCCATGGGTATAAAAACCAAGTTAAGTTCATATGTGTTCACACAAACTGATAGCAGTCAAATGGGTCTCCTAAGACAGATGTGTTCTTGTTTCCTTGTGCATCTGCAACTTTTGTTTTGGGCCTCTGTTAAAAATTAACTACTTTTCTCTTTATGACTTGAGTGGGTACACTGGACTGGCAGTGGACTCCCAGAGAAAGATACTTTGCCCATATCGGCAAGTGGGTTGACTCTACTGACTGTGGAGTGGTGTCAAGATAATAATGTACACTGGGGTGGTTGCTAAGAAACTGAATCTGAACATGGATAGTGGTTGCAGGTACCACTTGACTTCACAAAGCCAACCCTGCTGGTCACATTCTGATCCAAATTCCTAGCTCTCCGCATGGAAATCTGTTTGGCCTGTCCTGCAATGCATGATGGGAAGTTTCCCCCCTCTCTCACCACCCATGACTGTTTTATTTTATTCTGTGTGCTGCTTCTTACTTTATCCTTTCAACCTCTTCTCCTTCTTTGCACAGATATTATAGGCACGCTAAGGCCGGATGAGAAGGCCATTATGACCTATGTTTCATGTTACTACCACGCCTTCTCAGGTGCGCAGAAGGTGAGACTTTACTCCTAACAAACGCCTCCTCCTCCTTCTGTTCCCTGCCCACCAAATTTACAGTACCTATTCTGAACCAAGTATGGACTCCGATGCTGGCTTTCACACTGAACTCTTAAAGCTGTTGCCACATCCTTGGAAATAAAAGACTTTGAGTTTTGCTGAGGGTATTTTCATAATAAAGGATCTCTAAATTTTCCCAGCTAAAGATTCCAGCCTAGAGCTGCCAGGTCCTAACCAGACTGATCCAAGATGGAATATATTTACTGGTTCAGTGAACTGGTTTGATGCTCATTTATTGGCCTTTTTCGTGTTCCACCTAAGTGATAGATCCCTAGAGCTCCTTAAACCCAATTATTGCTGTTAGTTGATAAAACACTAGTTTGCTGCTGGCAGTGTTAAGTCTGTTGGAAGTGTTTAAAAGAGTCACTTCTACAAGTATTAGTAGTGGTAATAACTACTGTAGTATTTGTTAGGTGAGGCCCAAACACCATGTGATGCTCAGTGACATACAGTTATTTTCTGTTTCCCTCCTTATTTTCAGTTAAGTACAGCCTCTGTTTTCCCTTAGTACAGATACCAATATATTTTCTGTTTTGGAGCGTGGGGTGGGGAAGCAGCTTTGAGGGTATTTTTAATGGTGGAACCACAGTGGTAAATGGCTAAGGGGCTCCTTTCCTCCTTGCCAAGCTTTCTCTCTAGGTTGCAGCCTCTGAGGCAGCATTTAGGAAAGGAAAAATAACAAGAATATCCAGGGGAAAGCTACATTTGACTGAGCGTGGCCTGTACTTTGGGTGCTTTTCATACAACCAAATATCAGTAGTTGAAAGTGCTCTTCTACACACGAGCACTTGGTCTCCCAACAGTGTTGTCGTTTTCCAAGCAGCTACTCTGGAGACAGAAAACTGCCATTCAGCATTTATGCAAGTGCTGCTTCTTTACTATGAATAAATCTAATCATGCCTATGGGCTTTTTCCTCTTTAAAAAAAAAAGAGAGAGTTCATTCCAGCTTTGCCAGATACAGTCTCAGTAGGAGACCTCTGGAGGTCTCAGTCTGTAACTGTCATGTTTTTGCCATACTGAATTCCTGATAAATTAAGGGAGACCAAAATATAAGGTGAGATAGTTGTCCAATTACATCTTTCCAAACCAACCAACCCTGATAGCAGATTTCATTACAACGGTCTCTGTATATACCTCTTAACTTGCTCATCTGTGTTCCATGTTTCTCCTTGTTCCCATCACTTTTGTGTTCTTCCTCCATCAGTAGTTCTAGTGCTTTCCTTCTTCCTGTGGTGTTTCCTTATTCTAACACATTAAAACAAAACCCCCCCCAAAAAAACCAACCCATGTACTTGTCTCTCAGCTTCGTCCCTTGGGTCTTGGGGGCTGCTCCCCTTTTCACATATTGTACTTGGGTACTAAATTCATATCAGTTCTGAATTAAAACTTCTATGAACCTTACCATGAAAAAAGTTGTGATTAATTCTGAACTGTCATTAAATATGTATCTAAGTACAAAGTGAAAAGGAGAAAGAAGGCCTTATTACCAGCTCCTCTGGCTTATTACCACCTCCTCTGGGCAGTTCAGCTCAAAAAAGGCAGTTAAGAGTCAGTGATCTTCCTTCCTGCGACAGGCAATAGTTCCACAAAGTGCTGATTCATTACAAAAGACAGCCTCCCCCCCCCCATCTTCCTGTTGTGCAGTCACATTACAGTAAAAATCAGTGGGAACAATTTGTTCCTTTCCCAAAGGTATGTAAATTTTACTGAAATCAGAGGGGCATTAGGCGACAGATAGAGGTACAAACTTCTGGAACACCACAGTCCAAAATTACAGCTTTGATGTTGGGCCCCAGTTTTAACTCATTACCATGATGTTGTGTTAGCTGCCAGGAAAATTGTTTTCCTATGCAACTTTACTAACATATGAATTAGGCTTCTTTTTTAAAAGACTATGTTTAAAAGCAATGTCTTTTAGAAAACCAGAGGTTGCACAGTAACGTTATATCCTCTCAATGTGTTTTTAGAACACACTTAGCTGTTACATTTATACCTTGGTGTGTGAGAAAATGCCTGCAGAAATTCTAGGATGTGAGACTTTTCTGCAGGGGGAACTCAAACTACATACAAAGATCACACTACCAGTTTGCAAAGAGCCAGACTGTTTCCCTAATTTTGCATAAAGTTGTTTTGGCTGCAGGTAATATTGCTTTTAGGGTCTGGATCTACATGAGCCCAGCATATACCGTAATGTTCTCAAGTGAGATACACCAGGGTTTGTTCAGTTCTTTGGGGGGCATGTTGTATAACAGACCGACCCAATTCTAAATTAATCAGATTCACAACTGGTAATTCTCTATGAAGTTGTAGATTCAATTTATTAATCTCTTTGCAAGGTAGATATTCATGGTACTTTTTTCAGTAGCAAAGATTTTTGGGACAAATTTGGTTTGTTAGAGACCCATGTTATATGATTACTGTAAACTGTGATCCACCAAAGAAGTAATAATGACCAATTCTTTTAAAAAAAATCTTGATTGTTGAAATTATAAATTCTATACAAAAAATGTTGAGGCCTCTGTATAACCTGTACTTAAATTAGTGTTATTTAAAAACAATTCCTGCAAACATTGGGTTAGATTCTGTATACTGTAAATTATTATTATTTATTATTCAATTTATTCCCCACCCTATCCCACAAATGGGCTCAGAGCAGCTTACAGCATGCAGGAATTCATGGAATTGGTCTCTTTCTCTCCCCCCCCCCCATAAAGTTTCTCCTGGAGGTAGAATTACCCCTTGGGAACACAGTGAGAAAGTGGTGCAAGGGGCTGCAACTTGAGGAGAAATCAGTAGAAAACACCTCTCCCGCTTTCTCATGAGAGCTGACACAAGACATGGCAGGAGGGAAA